ATATATAAGCTAATATACTTAAAATAATCAAGATATTCTTTATTAAAAGTAACCATTTCTTGAAAGGAAGAAAATAAATTAGATATTTTTTAATGAATAAATATTTTTCTATGTGTGTTACTGTTAATTTGTGTTCTGTACTTCTGTGCGGAAATCGCGTGGCAAACGTAGCAAACGTGGCAAAGGTTAGGAAAACATCGCGTACCTTTCCTGCTTCCTTCTCGTCCTCCATAAACATCTGCAATCGTTCGAAGATCGAAGGAGCATCCTTGCGCGCCATCATCCACGCAATCCTGAACAAAGACGTGCAAGGATATTCGTTCGTGCAGGATCAGCTGACTCGATGCACAATGATTGTTCGACTATTTGTTATGTCCTCACAATTCTTCTTCTCGTAATTCACGCTCGGTATCCTTTCGACTACTGAAACATAATGCTTGTAACGTGCAATTTTCATCATAATAATTTCCTTAATTTTTTCTAATACCTTTTTCTAATACCCGACTGTCTGTCGTTGATCTTGCGTGATTATTTTTAACTGCTTTCCATTTACACTAATCTCACATAATTCTTATTTGTGATGTCATAACTCAATTGAATGCACATCCCTTTTCATTCTCACAAGTGAGATACAATTGAATTTTTACCTACAGTCTGTACAAACTGGAGAGATCATATTCTTTATTCCTTTATTGAGTCTTGTTAACTCACATTAAAAGTAAGGTTATAAACTATGTTGTTATGTGATTACTTCATCAAAATAAGCAAGTAGTGACATCATAATCTGAATATAAAATAATCACATAACTTTAGACTCAGTATCACTTGGAAAATGGAAAGCAATTGATGTTCGATTAGTTATCAAATTTCCCAGTCAATTTATGCGAGATCCACTTTTCAGCTGCACCTTATCGTCTGAAACGATCACGAAATGTAAAAGATGCATCCTGAAAGTCATTGGAGGCCAGTGTATTGCCGGTATTCCGACACCGAAGTATCGAATAGAAAGGAAGAAAGACTAAAAAAAAAAAGAAAGAAAACAAAAAAAGCACAGTTGAGATGAACAGTTCTGAAGGAATTCACACGAAGGAATTACAAACACAGTGATTGCTTGCTAAAAAATTGATGAAATTTTCCTCTCGAATATGAACGATACAATTATATGAGTTTATCAGAAATCCATGGATTCTCTTTTAAAAAGAAAAAGAATCATCAGTTTAAGCTTAAATTATTTCATTCTTTAAATTTAAACAATTTTATTATATATTGTAATTACATATGCATTTAATATGCTAAGAACGGATTTCTTTTTAAAAATTGCTTTCATAAAAAGACGTATTTAATATTAGGGATGTTAGAGATATTAGGAAAATCTTGACATTGAAAATCATTTTTACTTTTTCGTAAATCGTCCCAGCAAACGAGAATGAATTGAAATGAATTTAAATTTTCAGAAATATTGATTCATGAATATTAAAATGAATACTTTTTAATCCTGAATGCATTTTTATTCATTTATAGGAATTGCATGGAGCATATCTCTATAATATATAGCGTATATTTTTTGTATAAAAGTTTTAAAATAATAATTGTAGAATTTCATTTAATTACTGCTTTAATTTATTTAAACTTTTACATATATAACAATTTTTTTATATGGAATCCAATTCATTTTTATAGATTTAAAATATGGATTCGGATGGATTGAAAATTTTCTATTTATTTTAATCCATTTCCTTTGCTGGGGAGACGCATGTTTATAAAGAGAAGAAATGATTATTTAAATCGTAAAATACGAAACTTGAATGATTTATGAATATTTCTGAATCTTCCTACTTAACAAAACTGTATTTTAGGCTAAATGAAAAGAAAACTTTAGAATGTGTGTGGTCTTTTCCACGAAGATTTTCCGGAATCACGGAAGATTTTCATAACAAAGAGAATGGAATATAATGATTCATGTAAGAAATTCGAAGCGGAAAATGATTTTGTGATGACAATTTGATGATTATTTATGACCAACTTGATTATGATCGACACAGATACAATCGATTTACTGGAGGCTTCTGTGAAAACATCGTAAGAATAGAGTCGGATGTATAAAGACGAGGAAACGGACACTCAAGTTAAGCTTACGAAGCTTATTTCTGCTTGATGACATGCTCAGCTATCTGTTGTCAATCAGGTCGAACAATGACATCTCTCGCTTTCGTTACCGCGTTTTCTAATCTTTGATGTACAAAACGAGTCTGCTTCTCGCCGATATAAATAGCTAAGTTGGGCGACGCCAAAGAAGCTGTCAGCAACTTCAGAATGTTTTCCAAGGGAAGAATCACTTGTTTTGCAACACAAGTGACTAGGGTCAACGAACTAGTAAGCCACAATGGCGTTTGTCACGGAAGGAACGGCTGCGTTACTAACTAAAAAGGAAATATGCTATAAAAATTCTTTCCCATTAAATGAAAACGGATTAAAATGGAAATTTTATTTATCCGAATGTGTATTTTAAAAATGCAAGATGTTAGGCAAGCAAAAATATTGAAAATTTGCTTGTGAAGAGCAATTTTGGCAATTGGCTAAATTGCCAAAATTTATTTATATATTAACTATATAATAAATCTTTCTATTCGTAAGTGATCTGATAATGTTTCATTCATAATATTAGGTGTAGTAAAAAAAAATCCATTATTTTTCCATTCAATTTCATGCAAAAATAATAGTTTCTTTTTACTACATCTAATATGTTGTACAACAAAACGCGAAATATCTTATATCATCGGGCTGATTGTTATGATAGAAAAACATTAAGTGGTATGCTACGGTACGAAGAAGAAGATAAAAAGAAATATTAACTTTTTCAACATACATATTGGACATAATGTAGTGCATTAGAAGACAGTTAATATAATAAAGAATTATTTTACTTGAAAATTTCTATTGTACTTTTTCCAATTATTTTATTTTATTTAAAATTTATTTATTTTTATTTTATTTAAAAAAAAAGCTTCTATTATAAACTGTTAGTAAGAAATTAGAATAACCAATTTTATATAATATTCATATTTATAATCAACAATATATTTACTAACCATTGATGTTTTGAGAAAAAGTTATTTATTAACTTATTAATGCAATTGTTTATCATTATTTTATTTTTTATTACATATTTTTATTAATTTACATTTACATTTACAACTTATTAATATAATGGTTTATAATTATTTCATTTTTTATTACATATTTTTATTTACATTTATATTTAATTTTCATTTTATTAATTTAATTTACATTTAATTTATCAATGTTTACTTTATCAATGTTATATTTGAATATTGCGCTACTATTTAAGACCCAAATTTGATTGGCTAGCTGATTGCTCCGAATTGCTGTTACGCACGTCGACTCGTCTGTCTTCTTCCACCATGGACATCAGCTCGACAGCTCGTCATCAGCTGTGGGAGTCGTCCTTGATTACTACATCGCGCGGTCGACCACCACGCAAGGCGGTGGAGGCATAACGCTCCACGGATGTCGAGCGCGAACATGTTCCGGGACGGCCAGTATCTGGAAGTGATTAAGGTACCGCGTGCAACAGCTGTCAACAGCTGGTTGTCAAGTGCGCCGCGCGCCCGCGCGCGCATGAACGCGCCTGTCAAACATCTGTTGCGAAAACCGGGCGATATGGAGTGATTTTCTTCTTATCTCCTTTTCTCCAAACCGTCGAAAAATATCTCCTTCAATAAGTGAATGATAGAACGTACGATTTACGTTTTGAACGGTCGAAAGTAGTAAATGGTGTTATGATATGGAGTGATTTTTCTCTCGTCTCCTTTTCTTCAAACTATCGAGGAATATCTCCTTCAATAAGTGAATAATAAAACGTACGGTTTTTGTCTTTGAACGATCGAAAATAGGAGATAGTGTCATGACAATTCGCTCGTTTTAATCATCGCGAGTTAGCGGAACGTTTCTCATTAATAATTTTCTGGAACGAACATGCAGCGATTTATAGAGCTTATTGCTTATATCGTATCGCAACGTGTCCGCAGGCCTCGAACGATTGCCTGGCGACTGCCGTGGTCACCGTGCAAGAAAAAACGGTAGAAATCAAGAACCAGAAGGTCGTCACGAACAAGTGGCTGCAAGTCGAGGACTGGGCGGCTCTCTATAAGATATTGGAGCGAGCGGTTCTGCGAAACGGCCGTCAGGATGATGAATCGCATCGCGAAGGACGGGGATGCGAATGGAGAAAGTCGACTCGTCAGTTGGAAGTCACGTAAGAATGCAATTGTCGTTCGAGAATTTTTGATTGACTTTTTTTTAGTGAATTGATTAGATCAATTAAGGCCTGATTCCAGCAAAAAATGTAAGATTAATTTTAATTTAAATTACTTACTGTTTATTTTTTCTAATGCTTAATGGATATTCACAAATTAATTTTGAAAAAGAGAACAGAATTGAAAGTTATAGAAAGATTTAAAAAAGACAACTATAATAATGTTATGAATTTAAGTTAAGTAATTTTTTAAGTTAGAGAAATCAGGTTACTTTTTTAAGAAAAAAATAAAGTGTAATTAATAAATTAAATACGTATGCTTCGTGATTTACTTACTCTCTAGTAATTAATTAAAAATAATATAAAACAAAACAATTCAATAGTTCATACTTATCTTCCTCAAGTTCAAAAGTTTCAACTTTAATTTCTTTCCCCAGACAAATAAAATCCTAATTACCTATATTTTATCGACGATTAATTTATTGAGTGATGACTTATATTAATTTCTTTTATTGTTTGGCGCGTGGAAAAAAGATGGAGACAACAGTGAATTAAAAACTCATTGGAAACAATTCTGCCAGTTGAATAAATCATTAATTAAGTTAATCAAAATTCAATCTTATATTCAGGATGTATCTCATTGGAATAAAATTTTTATAACAGTTTAATATTAAAAATAGGTATGCATTTCTTAAAAGTCAATGATAAATTGAGTTTGTTACATATAGAAACAATATTCTGTAAAATTAAAACGAATCGTTTCTATCGCTATATATTCTATCGCAATCAGAAATATATACGAATGTGTATATAATAATAATAATAATAATAATAATAATAATAATAATAATAACTCGCTAATTTCGTTTAACAGATACACTTTCGAACATCCAGAAAACGCAAGTGGCATGCCGTCTTTGCCCACGATCAAGGTACACGTGTCACCAGCCCGGAAGAAACCGGTGAAGCGAGAGGGTGACGAAATCTCGAAGAAGAGTAAAGTGAAAATGAAGAACGACGCAATGAAACGAACGAAAGAAGAAAAATCTCCCATTCAAACATTGACAAAAACCGATCGATTAAAGAAGACACCGAAGAAATCGACGCAGACTATCCCAAAAAAGACTGAGACTCCGAGCGCTAGCGTGAAGGAGCAGAAAGACTTGAAGAGGAAAAAGTGTTCGATATATACGCTCTTCGAAGATTTAGAGAACGCGCCGTTGGAAGAATACATCCCGGATGCGCCGAAGACAAAGAAATCGTGTCCATTCAAATACGTTCCCAGCCAGAAAAGCGCATTGGAAAATATGCGATCAACGTTGAACGAATACACGCCGACTCTGTGCGAAGGCAAAAGCCTCATCGCAGAAAATGTGAGTTACGTGCCGAACTCCGTTAACAAAGTGGAGACGAATTATGAGATTTACGAACCAAGCGCTACCACAGAGATACCCAACAGCGTTTTTGAAGAGTATGTGCCTAATTCCAAGGGTCTCAACCCCTCTATAGAAGAGTATGAGCCTGATTTCAAATTCCCGAGTAAACTGATGAAGTTCGACGATAGTTATGTGCCCTCGAGCGTACGACGAAGCGTATCAAATGATTCGAAAAAAACTTCGAGCAAACAGGAGAAGTCGAAGCTGCAGAAACTAGAAGCTCATCGAAAGGGGGTAGTAGATAAGAAAAAAATGAATCTTTTTTCGTGAGATACACACACGTGTGAAGTGCTCAAACGTGGTTATAAGCGACTAAAGAAAGTTTTGCAAGGAGAGAAAATAGATTTTGGTACGACTGACGTCTGTAAAAAGTATAGTTTATCTTAATTCGATATACAAGACTATATATATTACATTATTGTATAGTGATATCCGTAATAAAATACCTATTCTTGCTAAGTATAATGATATCGATGAATTGATTATTAACAAATGTCGTTTACAATAGCTTGGAACTTGGCGCGAATAGCTGTCTTATTTCCATGCTATAAAATTGGTTATTCTACTTCCGAAATGCCAATTTCCTAATGTCTCTTGTATCAATCTTGTGCATAGATACATAGAGCCACTTAACGGTCGTCTTCGGCCTCGCTTGGAGGATCTTCGACCAAATTCTTTATAGGTTCGTATTTATTTCCCGCCATTTCTTCCTTAGATTCTTCTTTGGATTCTTCCTTGGATTTCATTTCAGAGATATCTTGATTGAGTTCCTCTTCGTCGTCAGTATCATCATCGGCACCTGGATGAACGGAAACCTTATGCGTCGGACTGCCCATTGTCTGCATGATTCCCGGTTTCTGCCACATCTTTTGCGACTCCTGAAAATGACGAAGAAATATAATTATTATAATAAAAAAACAATATATGTAAATCAATTTACAAGTAGAAATTACCTTCATTCCGCTGACTTTCTCCATGTAATAATCGTAAACAAACTTAGCCATATGCGGCATATCCTCGATTTCCATCGGGACAGTTGAGGACACAGCATCGTTCGGTCGCTCGGTGGGATAGAGTTCCTGTGGCAATAATTGTAGTTTCAACGGTCTCTGCATCAATTGGTTGAACGCTGGTGTCAATTCGAAACAGTTCTTGAAGAGGGATACGCGAGCGAAGACATAGAGACCGAGACGAGCACGAGACATTGCTACTACTAAACGCCTAGCGTCCCTCAGATGACCAACTGCGCGCGTCTTAACCAGAGAGAGCAAAATATAATCGTTTTGCTGACCCTGGTACTTGTCGACAGTTGTTACTTTATTCGGCCGGCCTATCAGAGGATTGTTTGCGCACCGAATGTTTATTACATCCCTTATTAGATGCTTCTGTCCGTTATACGTAGTCAGGATACTGATCTTGTCCGCCGGATACCCTAGCAGGCGCATGTACATGAACACCGCGACGCAATATTCGGCTTCAGCGAGATTCTGATAGAAGTAGGCACTAGGCTCACTCTCGCCAACGCCGTTGAAGTCTTCGACGTTCACTAGTTGGAAATCGTATAGGAAACCGGCGTTTGCTACCAGATATTCAGGACTTCGTTCTACGTGCGCCAAATTACCCAGTTTCTTATACCTCCAATTGTAGAGATTACAAATGCTAGGTCTGGCGCGACCTTGGCCGTCGAGATCGACGGTGGGTACGCCCAATCTTACGAATCTCGCGAATAGTGATTGTTCCATATTCGAGTATTTCTGAAAGGCCATGTTCTTGATGACCGGTGGCAGTTGATGATGATCCCCGATCATTATCCAACGTTTTAGACGATTATATCCATCTTGAGGATTTTGTAATAACAATGGTATGAAAGTTTCTATTTCCAAAATCTGCGCGGACTCCTCCATGAGGATATTGTCGTATTTGAAACCCATGTCGACAAGTTCACGACGTTTAAGCGCTGCATGCGTACAGGTCATAGCAATTACTTTGGCCTCCTTCACGAGTAAATATTTCGATCTGTCGAGACCCGATCGCAGTAATTCGAAAGCGCGAAACTCATCTAATTGCGTGAATATCCTCTCAATGTATCTGCATAGAAATATATCGATATAAAAAGCAGTTATGATTATCCATCTTATAAAGTGTTGTATTTACGATGCTAAAAATCCTTCCGAAATCTCGGAGAAAATATTGACCAATCACATTGATTAAATAGCCAAATTGTTCAAATATTATTTGTTAATTTTTTTTTCGTCCAAGATTTCAAAACGATTTCTAACATCACTGGGCTTAAAAGTTTAATGTACGTTTTTTACCTAAAACAACTGCACGCAATCTTGAGGTCTTCCTCGTACGAATTTCGTTTGAAAAGTGGTTGCGGGGCATTGTCGAAGAACTTGTGGAAAGGGAACTCCTCATCAATTATGGAAGATAAATCAGATTTCTCACTTGTGTGCTGTCTTTGTTTGACTCTGGCCTGAAACCGGTTCCATCTCGTGGACACTTGATACATAAAGAAGTAACCCGCCGTTTCGCATGTATACGCGACATCGCCTTTTACATTCAAAGATTCCTGAAAAAAGAAATACATTGTAACGACTTGACATAATCAAACAATACTGATAATACTGATTTAAGAGATACTGATAACAATACTGATTTAAGAGATAAATACCTGTAATCTTTGAACTTCCAAGAGCAAATCTAAACGTTTGGCAAGAACGTAATTGACTCTACCGTAGCGACTGAAATCCTTTTCCGTCTCCAAAGCCTCCTCTCCGTGACCGAGACGCAGCAGATGCCGTTCGTCGATATCGAGAGCCATTATCTTCTCGAACAATTGATTAAGCGCTTGATTGGAATGTGTTACGATCAGCGTCCTTTGATAGGGAAAATTGTGATATAGATTCGAGATAATCTGTACAGCGACATCCGTTTTGCCGGTACCAGGCGGACCGACGACCAGCGTCAGACCTGGCTGCATTCCAGCTCGTATAGCTTCGACTTGCGTTGGCGTAAAGGGAATCTGATTTCTGCAACGTAGCAATATATTCCTTCTCCGTTCAAAAAATAACACGTGCTATTAATGCACTATAACACAAAGTGAATACTAACTTTTTCGGTTCGTTCGCTCTGTATGGCCCTCTACTGGGCGGCACGTGTGGTTTAACTATAATAATCTTCTTCATCGGATCATTGTTGTGCTTTGCAAGGACATCTTCGAAAATTAACTGGAATGGCCGCACCAGATTTCCTTCGTCCTCCGGATTCGTTTTGATCTCGTACTGAGGAAAACTGGCTCGTAGATGATCGATATCGAGAAACGTATCGTTGAAGTCTATCGTTGCAATTTCATCTGGCATTCTATTGTATCAAATATTTTTTAATGTTCAATTATAAAGATTATGGATTTAATATATTTTTTTTAGATTATTACAAATGTAAATTGTGCAAACTATTACAGAAATGCAAAAATGTTAATTTATTTTTCAAACAAATAATCAAGATAAATAATTATTGCTTGGAAGATACTGCCGGAATAACTGCAGAAAGGTATAATTACAGAAGAATGTATCTACTAAATTATAGAAGGAATATATCTATTAAAATCTCAGACAGATTTGTTCATCCGTTTATAATCGATGCCGTTTCAAGCAATCAAACAAGAAATACACCATCAGCTTTATTATTATGTATAGAGATAGAACAATAGATAGAGATTACCTAGAATAGCATGCTGCACCTGGATCGCCGTATCCGAGGATTATGTCGTGCAACCAATCGGGCACAACGCATTCAGTATTCATGAGCTCCCTTATAGTCTCTAACACAGCTTTGAAGTTGTTCTCCTTAGGTTTACGCCTCATTATGATATTAAATCCCTCGTATACGTCTTCGCCACCATGACTAGCGTTGTCCATATCGATTCGATATTGATTACAATCTAGCCACACTCTATAAGTGCGCGAATCGCCCGGCAAAATCGGCCTCGGTTCAGGGCCATCCTCTATCACTCTGCCATTCGAGTCGAGCATACCTTCGACTTCGCATCCTCGCACCGTCGTTAGACCCACTTGTGGCACGAAGGGAAGTTTATGACTGTATTTAGTGCCTGCGATAATACGACAATTATCTGAGAATTTTGATCTATATTATTATTATACGAGGCTATTACAATAAAACAATAAAAAAAAATTTATTGTTGGAATAAAATCGTTATTGTTACTGCGTACGAAAGCGACTAAATTTCGCTGACATAATCATCATTTGATTGTAATAAAACGTGTTTTATTGATAATAAAATGGAAAAACCTTTGTTTTTCTGAACGAGACAATTTATCTTTGCAAATACATTTTGCAATTACACTAGTTTTTTTGTAATAAGATAATTAATTATTATAGCAAATCATTAATTAATATTACAAATTATTAACATATTATGTATGTCAGCATATTTTTCTTTAGGTAATTGATTTTTATTTATAAAACAGTTTTAAATTACTCTTTTTAATATCCATCTTATCTTACCGATAGGATTCGGCGGCTTAACTGTGATAAGAAAGCACACGTCGTGCTTACGAAGATTTTCCCATTCGGATTTAATTTCCTTACGAACGCTAAGATTTATGGTCACATCGGCACGAACTCTTGATGGTCTGTTCTCGCCGACATTAGGTTTAGCCACTTCGACCACCGCAAATTGCGTAATAGGTTGTGCCATTCTAGCCCATCCACCAAAGTAGACACCACCGTCCTCTGCCCGCCTACAAGCGAAGAAAGAAGAAATATTATCACTTTTACTTTCGCGAGAAGAGAAGGTAACACGTTGATTTAACATACCAAGGACTCAGTCTGCTTACGGCATCCTCAATGTCTTGTCGTATCTCGTCTGCAAACAACGATAATATTTAACGACTGATATATGTATTTAATCATAAATTAGATACGACAATGAAAAATGTCATTTTTTTTACTTTTTTTATACGTACATGTAGATTCTAAACGGAATAAATTGAAGTTTCGTAGAAGATAATCATGCAACGTAAGGAACTGCAAGTTCAATTTTGGCAAAGCCAGACAGCCCTCGCCAGAAAAATATTCAGTCGGGACGATGCTCTCGTTCCATATGATATCCTCGGTCGGATAAAGGGGCATCTCATTCAGCTCTTCAAGCTGCGATGGCCTACGCTCGTGTCGCGATATCTGAAATTAAAATGCATGCTCTCTGAATTCAGATTGGCTGGATAAAATCTCTCAATATTTCTCTTTTTTTACACCCACCAGCAATTCACGTAAAAAGTCTATATCCAGGCGATACCAATTCTCATCTTTTTCTCGCTCCGTGGGCGGTACTAAATTCAAGTAACTAGCGATAGATCTCAATTTTTCTTGACTAAAAAAAAAAAATATTATTCGCAATTCAACGAAGCTAGTGCTTCACATGGTTTTACATCAATATAATTATTCTCTTCTAATAATTATCTTGCAATATTTTCAAAATTAATACTTTACATATTTTTTAGGATACTCTTATTAAATGCAAAACTTACCTGAGTGAACCAAAATGTTTATATAAAGCATCTCTGACGTCGACACTGGCTACATTGGCCAATGCGAAGCTTCTTAGATCCGGAAATTTCGCAAAAACTGCATTCTGTAGAGTAATAAAAGTTAATAATATTAATCTCAAGATTTCAAGCATTTATTGTATATAATATCCATGCATCAGTATTAATGATGCAACTAATAGGATTAATCATAATTAAAATTCTTGTTTTATGATAGTAAATCAACAATTGATTTGCGAAAATCATACAACTTGGTAAAATATATACATAATATAAAAATCAGGAATTTGCTTATTATTTTACATATTTAAAATTATTCAGCGCGTATACAAATCATTTTTTAAATAGTGATCGAAATTCTTATGTACCTGTAAAGACGTAATTTTAGTGTAATGCAACTCCGTCATGTCGTGATCCGTCAAGGGATTGCCAGTCTCCTCGCTGATCTCGAAACGGGCATAGAACTTGAGCATTTCTAAAAGCTATAATTAAAAGCGAAGTGAAGATAATCAAGCTTTATATAGGAGGGAGCTAATTAAATCTTCGTTTGGTTTAATTTGTTTTCTCCCTTTCAATAAACTATATTATTGCTAAAATTAAATATTAATGCCGTGAAATGCTTAATAAAGTTTATCAATAGTTCTGATTAAAAAAATTTAATTTTCCTAGTTTATATTTTAGTTTATAATTAAATCAAATTTTTGTCTAAAAGACTTATTATTTCTTCAACTTTATCGGATTAGTTTAGGTTATTGTTCGTATTCGATTTGCTCGACCTGGTACGATCGAGCGTACATTATGGGACAGCTTTTCTTATATTTCGTGAGCACAAGAAGAAAAAAAGTAATGCTTCCTTTATCCCCAAGAAAACAATCTGTTGGACCATTAATTCAAATTGGACCTGCCTTAGTGAATAAAAAATCCATAACAATAAGGATAAGATAAGTTACGAGAAGAGTATGGTTTTCTTTTCATAGAGACACATGGCTATGCCTATATGCGATAAAACCAGAATCAACAGAATCGTTGCATTTATAATCGTACTTTGACGTCATAGTCGACGAAAGGACCGGCTGTAGATATATTAACCGTTTTTCTCGTGAAACGGAAAGGTTTCTATCCTTCAGAGAAATTAAAATTTTTTTGTCGAGGAATGAATGTTTATTTCCCATACATTTCATTCAGAATTTAAAAAATATTTTTAATCATCTTTTTAAAATTTGTAACTCTATAAAAAAATTCAGACTATATATTTGCTTCATATTTTTAAGAAGGTGGTTTAAGACTATCTAAGAAGTTCTGAAGATACAGTTCTCATTTAACATACTCTATATTTTCTATTGTTTACGTACAAAATGTATTTTATATATATATATATATATAATTATTATGTAACATATAATAGTAATGATTTATTATTACATTTATAAATTTATTGAACATTATATATAATTATTATTATTGTATTGATATATAAGATTTTTAATATCTTAAGATTTTACATATGTCCCATTACATTAAACGTAATAGCATCTATCATATTCTTTGAACAACTTTCAAGATTGATAGATTAATCAATTCACCTCTAATAGTATACTTAATAAGTCATGAGCGTGCCAATTAATATGATTCGTTTGCATGTTCCAGATATCAAACAAATGCGGTTAACCAACTGCAGTTTAAAGGAAATATCGCACTGAACGTTAATGATAGTAATTAATCATCGTAATTATCAGAATTTCCTAGTGTTTCACCGCGGCCTTCGTTCGCATATGCGTATATAATACAATATCTCAGAAGATAATTCTAAATTTTCAGAGTAGTTCATGGATAGTGTTTGCAGTGTGTTATGGGTACATGTATCAGCATTTTAATTTCTGTGTATAAAAAGATGTTGAATGCATAACGGTACTACACTTCTCTAACACGTTTCTCTGCCAGAATAATCATGTAGCGTGACGTTCATAAACACTACGATACTACTATGCCCACAATTCCTTTTCCTCTCTTCTTAATTAATTAGATGTCTATCTTTTTATATTTTCTTTCTAGTATCACTCCTTCCTCAATAGCTTTCACGATTGCATTCCTATTTGCGTATCAGTGCGCACTTGAAAAGAAATCTGACTGATTCAGTGAATCATTGTTTTGATCTGGCCAATATTCTCGAAGGAGTCGAAAGGTTCGTGAGAAAAAAGGATGGAAAGGAAAAGAAACAAATACGTAGCTTGGTAGCTCGCACTGCACGAGTCCATTCAAAAGTGGGAGAGGATTGGCGCTATCTCAACCGTCTCTGCATCGCTGGTAAGCTCCGGAGAACAGTCTACCGTCACGTTCAGTTTCGCTCGCAGCGCAACAACGTGAGCTCCAACACGACTCATCACTCCAATCGCTTATCAGAGTTCAATCGTATCGGCCATCAAAACACTCACTAGACTTCTCTGTAAAGCTCACGTGACACGCGTCGAGGGCTTTTCTCGTGATTTCGATAACGTGCGTCAGACATCCTGTCTGGATCATTCTGAGCAAATAGGAAATTGCCTTTTTCATCAGTTTTGAAATAAAAGCAAAGATCGAGTGATAAGAAGCCGATAAGGTCGTCGCAATCTTCTCATGCTCCTCACGTTTGCAACAGTCTAAGGGCGGGGGAGGAAGTAAAAGAAGTACATTGACAGGAAGTTATTTGTGGAAAATCGCGATAGAAGCAACCAGTAGTATCGAAATCTTGTCACTCAATTGCTGAAGAACTTCTCATAAGAATTACAGAAAGCAATCATTCCTTCCGTGACAAACGCCAGTGTGGCCTGCTAGTCCGTTGACCCTAGTCGTGTGTATCACGCCAAACAAGTGATTCTTCTCTTGGAGAACATTTTGAAGTTCGTGTTGCCGACAACTTCTTTAGCGGCGCCCAACTTAGCTGTCTATATCGGCGAGAAGCAGACTCGCTTTGCACATCGAGGAATCAGGAAATGCGGTAACGAGAGCGAGAGATGATGTCGTTGTCCGATGTGATTTACGGCAGGCAGCTGAGCACGTCAATCAGAGGTAAGCTTCGTAAGCTTAATTTGAGTATCAACTTCCTCGTCTTTATGCGTCTAACTCTACTGCTCGTAGTGTTTTCACAGAAACCTTCTATAAACTGGTTTTCTCTGCATAATCAAGCTCGTTATAATTAAACTGTCATTGCAAAATCATTTTCCACTTCGAATTTCTTAAATGAATAGTTATATTCCATTCTCTAAAGCTTCGTACTATGAAAATTTTCCAGCGTAGAAAAGACCACACACACACTAAAGTTTTTTCTCATCTAGCCTAAAACATCATAGTTTCATCAAGTAGGAAGAAATATATATTCAGAAATCATTCATGCTTCGCATTTTATGATTTAAATAATCATTTATTCTCTTTATTTTATAAACCCGCGTCTAGTAATCATGTTTTTTTCTGTTATCTACTTCATCATCAGAAACTTAAAGGAAGATCGAATGATATCGAACAAAAATTGTTTAGCTTAGACACGATTGTTAGTATTTTATTGACAAATCTGCACATGAAAAACAGAATCGAATTTGCAAATTGTACATTTGTACTCATATTTGTTGTGCACCTTGCTTTATTTATGAAATTAACTTCATCAACCAATCACTAAATGTAAGTGTAATTTCGTTTTAGTTTATCAATTTAAATCTATTATTTTTTTAAACTGCGGGTTATATATTTTCATTTTTTAATATAAATATATTAAAAAAATATATTTACGTAAAATCATAAAATATAGTTCATTGATGTTCTACAATGCAAACTCGTCTACTAGAAATTGCAATCATTCATTTATAGCTAATACAATCCGATAGAATATTCGTTCAAAATCGATATTCAATTAATTTATTAAAACCGGATCGTTATACAATGCATGATTATAAGAAATATCGTGATCATCGATAAAAAAACTGCAATTTATCGTCAGTGTTTTCCGAACAAGGAAGCGGCTGTACTAAAGAGAATTATTACTAGATAATCAATTTGCAATCAATATTAATGCATACATCATATGTGCACGTGTGTCTTGGGAGAAATATTTCGTTGTTTACTTGGAAAACGTAAATCCGCTTAGAGTCGTTAAAAACTAATATCAAGATAAGCGCACTGTACATTATTGTGAAAAAGTAGTAAATTCTCTATAAATGTAGATGACGAGATTAATACTTTATCGTGACATTTCGTAAAGCTAATTTGATGTGGAGATATAGTGTGCATTAAGTAAACTAGTTCGATTATCAAGAGCTTTCGTTTGTGTGCGTTTTCTGTTAATAGAATAAAATATTTCAAGCGAACGAACGTCACGCATCATATTGTTAGCCTCATTCGGATATCTTACCCGTAACTTATTCTTGCACTATCGTAAAAAAATCCCATGATTGTACTGTCTCCGTTTTTGTTTTATATAAATTTTATTATAGTTACGAGCAGCGGAAAATTTATCAATGTAATACTTTTCTTTTTTTCGTATATTTACAAACATGACATGATAAGGACGACACGTCAGGCATAAAAGTGACAATTGTTTATTCCGCTCGCTCATTATACGTAATATGGCAATTGTGTCTAATTAAACATGGACGGCGTTTACATCGCTTTAATTAAGTCGTCCCTGCAGCGGCGGCAAGCAAAGGAGGTGACGTCTGTGCCGATAGTTAATCTCACGATTTACGGAAAAGTAAAAATTATTTTCAATGTCAAGATTTTTTCCGAGAAATTACATGACAATAATATTCGACGATTATTATTCTTAAAACGTGTTGTAAAACGCGTTTGTAGATTCTATTGATGATTTACGATATAGGAAGTATCTTGTTCATAAAATTATAATCTCGATGTTTATCGGCGAAACGGTTATGATCAGGTCAGAAAATCATACCAGAAAACTCATCAAAATAATCGAGAGAGAAAGCGAAAAAATATATATATTAACGACGCTAATCGTTTCGCAAAAATAATATTATCTGGCGGAGATTGCGAGACCGAGATATATCATTATAAATAAAAAATATAAAAATTA